AGAGAGAGAGAGAGAGAGAGAGAGAGAGAGAGAGAGAGAGAGATTGGGGTATCCAGTATCCAGATAACTTGGCAAAAAAGAAAACCTCTTTATTGATTGTAGTAATTAGTATTGAGCTTATCAGTGTTTTGGACAAGGGTGGCCACAGCCTGGAAGTTCTGACACTTAAGAATAATTTTTGGACTATGTGGATTCACTACATGTAATTTCCTTGTAAGGTACAGATATTTTCCATATTACAGACTCCAAGAAAACATTAGAACCCTACTGGGAACTGCCTTCTTTCTTTAACAGTGCACAAGAAACTTGAGAAATATGATCACACAGCAATAGAATACAGTCACAGCTTAACTGTTCTCTTAGGACTGCTACTGAATGCAGGAGAGATCAGGAGAGAACTCAGCCAACTCTTGGTTACCTCGAGGCTGATTATCTGGTAGCATCTTTTCCTCTACACCCCCTGGGTTCTCTCTCTCCCCTCCCCTGTTGAGTTCTGAACATTTAAGTGCTCATTAAGAAAGGAAATGGAAATCTGTCCATTTTGCCTCATACTAATGAAACATTTTTTTTTTTAATGAAACATTTTTGAGCTGAGGATATTTAACTGTTGAGATCAAAAGCAAACATTTCAGAACTATGAGGCATCAGAGGCACACAGAGCTTGGGCTCTTTGCCTGGGTACGCCTCTCCAATGGATGGCACCAATGTCTCAGTTGGTCTCTGCTCTTCCTGGAAGAGAATTATGTTTCCCACTCTGAAATCATACGGCCTGTAGTGGCCTCTCTGGAACAAAGGTGTGATCTCACCTCATCGGCGCTAGGCCTGTGCACGTGACTTGGTTTACAAATGAGCCCTGGCTCTGATTGATGTGTGCTGCATCTGAACAGAAGCGTAAGACCCCTGTCCATTTCCTCTGGACCCCTTGCTCCTAATGGACCCTGATCCTCTATCCTAGGTCTTGGAATGAAATCTTGCAGAGCAAAGCCACCAGCAGGGCCCAGCATGGGCATGACAAACCTTAGCTGTTGAAAGCCAATGAGACTTTGGGTTGATTTATTACTGTAGCACTGCTGACTTGTATAACCCTTCATCCTGTGCTTTTCTCTAAGATACAGCTATTCTTAAACCACCCACTATAGCACTTTCCTAGATTTATTCTCTGTGAGTATGATACAGACAAGAAATACAATTTTCTTATGACAACCATTTCTTCTGAGTTCAATTTTGGCTGAAAGGATTTGATAAAATGATTAAGACTGAAGCATATTTATCTACCTGATCATTGAAGCTAAAATTTCACAGTTCAGTGAAACCCTAGTTTTGTTTAGGGATTCTGCAAAATGTTTGTCTTTCTCTACATTCTGTTTCCTCTTCTAATTCAGTGTGCATCACTGTCTCTTGGATCTGTCATTTTCTTCTCTTGTAATCTGTTCTGTGATTTGTCAACAGAAAGGCCATTTAAAACATGGATTGGATCAAGAGCTTTCCTTTGTTGATAATCTTGTTCCTCATCATTATTCCTTACTGCTTCATCAATTAGGATTACTTAGTAGCTTATAAAAAGTCCAGAATTTAGGTTTTATTCCAGACCTGGAGAACTACAGCCTACTTTACACCAAGCTACTACAGGAGGTAAGTATATCTGAAATTCTTTACTTCCCCTCAGGAAAACCAGACATTGCCCAGACTCATTGCATTTATTATCTCTCATCATTACCATATTGTGGTCTTCATTCTGGTTTTAAAATTCATTACTAGTTCTAACTATAAAGGCCTTTTCACATTTCCTGGGTGTGTCCTTATTGTGCATTTAAATATTTAAAGTTTACTTTCCATGTAATGAAACACAGAAATCAACAGTACGTTTGAGCATGCTTCACCTCTATCTTCATTTGTCATCACCACACAGATCAAGAGTATATCTAACATCGGTGTCTAACATCGCTGCGAACCTCTCCAGTAGGTAACTGTCTTGTCTGTATTTGAAATCCATATACATAGAGCATTTGTATCTTACTTTTTGAATACATTTTGTCTGTGAGATCTGCTACCTGGACATCTTGTCATTTTCTTCATTGATATATACTGTGCAACTGTCTGAGTGTGTTATGCCTTTTGAAAAGGAATTGTTCTTAATGTGTATTTATTATCAGTAATACTGGTGAAAACGCTCTTGTACATGCCCTTTGGTGGGATAGGTCTGCTCATATCAGTTGAGTATGAAATCAGAAGTGCAATTGCTACTATTATGGGAACAAATTATTTAACTTTACTACACCCAGCAAGGCAATGTGCTAAAGAATTTGTTTTATGTGACATTTCTACCAGAAATGTATAAGAATTCCATTTGTTCCTTTTATTTTTTTTAGAGGATATTATGCTATTCCTCATCACAAAATGATTTAATATGCAGCAATAAGTGCTGCAAAATCTTTGTACCAAAATCACTTTCCATCCTTATCACCTGTGGCCCTACACAGAGTGAAAACAGCCACACTAGCCGCCTCTTAGTCCACAGTGCACCACCTGCCACTAAGGGGTAGATTTTTCTGGTGCTGGGAGTAGATTTTAAATAAGATACAGTGGTTGTCCTGAAATGCACAGAATTGTAAGAACACAGATATTAAATACTGCCTAGAAAAATGTGAAAGAGCTCCAACATTATTTTTAAATCATTTCTAGCAGGTTTATAGACTATAGGAAGTGGGCTGGAATAAATAATAGATTGGATAGAGAAATCAAGGCCAAAACACCCAGTAAACTAGGTGAAATAAGATGAAATTTAATAAGAATAAATAGAAAATTCCAAAATCAAGCTTATAAAATCAAAATGAAGAAATGTGGTGCGAAGTCATCAGCCTCACCTCTGATAAAAACAGAACCCTGGGTTTTGCATTGCAGATCTCCAGATAAAGGCTGGATGGTCACCAGGGTGGCTGGATGGGAAAAGCTATTCTGTTATGAATCAGATAGAGTAAAGGGTACATTTCCACTTTGTTTCCTGCCAAACATTTCGATAACGACTCCCAGCTATTCAAACAAAGAGGGGATTTAAAAGCTGAAACATTATATAAGGGAATTACGCTCCAGCAAAAATACTTTTGCAAAGATATGCTCAGAAAAACACAAACATAAGACATACCATTGTGTTTGAAATAAAATATAAGGTCTGATGAATAAGGAAATAAGGAAATAAAAAGATGGATTAGAGAACAGGAAATTGCCTGCTAGAATAAAAGGAATCTCCAGAAGTAAAAGTGCAAAGACAGTACTAAAATCTGTGACGGATGTCATAAGAGACAATAAGCATCATAAATAAATAAATTTAATGTTTCAGATATGCAAATCCTTGAGTTACAATATACTAAGAAAGCAAAGAGGTAGTGAGAAAAGAAATATGAAATGATGATGCAGAAAACAGAAAATACACATTGTAGTTTAAAAGGGCACTAGAGGAGAGAGTATGATTTCTGTATTGAAAATTGCACACAGGTGCTCTCCCTGTCAACAGAACTGATCATTTTTACAACTTTATGAAGCTTCTTGTTCATTCATCCATTCACTTTTTTCCTCAGTACAATTAAATATCATTCTATCTGTGTGTGTTCTCTTACTAGATCATGGATATTGTGAAAGTGGTTTTGTTTCATTCATACTTCTTGCCCAAAACCTATTGATGAGGTGCAACCATAATTGTTTATTTAACTTGCTTCCTATCATATCAAAGGCTATAATCATTAGGGAGAGTAACTTCCTTTTTGTTCGTCCTTTAATAACAAAGTGAATTTTGAGGTGGCACCCAAGGCTGTTAACCACACCAGGGTTTCTGTGACTGTAGGCCAGACACTTCACTTTGTGCTGTTGAGACTCCATATGCGGTGTTACTGCAAAAGCCCTAGTTTGGATGTACAGATAACTAGGTGTTGTGTGCAAATTACAACCTATTTGGGCCTCAGTTTCATTGTCTATGGGGAAGATAAAGGGTGTGACCCTAGATAATTTCCTGGGTTTCTCTATCTTCCAGTAAAGTTTCCAGTTGCATTAATGTTTGTTACTGGGAGGGTGATACTGGGAATGAATCTTCACTGTATGGTGAAACTCATCCCTTCTATTCATGTGGGACAGAGACCATCACCCCTACTCATCGCGAGGGTCCCTGCTAGGACCTGTAACTTTTTCTCTGTAATCTAGCTTTGTCTGCACGAGGTAGAGAGCTATCAGGGCAGTCAGCAACTAG